TTTGGCATTCCATTTGCCTTCAGCTGCTTCGTGTGAGCAGGAGGCTGGGGAGAAGGATTTCAAAGGAGACGAGGTTTATGAAACTCACGGGAAAGAGGAAGCCAAGAGGAAAACAGGTGAGGTGTTGGCACGCGGAGGGAATGTAACCTCAGACCCTCTGCTCTGGGCGGCCGCCAGGAACCGCTGAGCAGGAGGGAACAGATTCCTCCTAAAGCAGGAAGGATTTAGGTCAGACGGTGGGAGAATTTCCTGGCAGCTAGAGTATCGTCTGCAGAGGTTGTGAGAGGTCCTGGGCTCTTGCCCAAAGCTGGGGAATGGCCTGAATAGCTCCTGAAAAATATTTTAATCTCCCAGTGTTTATGGAGCCGTCAAACCTGCTCTCAAGGGACGGTTACTCTAATCTCCCCGTCATCCACGTGGGGAAAGTGAGCCTAAAGAAGGTCCAGGACCTGGAACACGAGGCGCGGGCGAGATGGCAGGTATCGCCTGCTGGACTGTCTCCCACCAGAAGGCCCCAGCTGCGTCCTGCCAGGGAGCGGGAAGACAGTGCTCAGCCTGCCACGGGCTGGCGTGGGGGCCAGCCGGCAGCTCCAGGCCCAGCCCGGGGGAGGCGGGAGGACATCAGACCTCCAAGAGGCAGTGGAAGCGGCCCTGGGTCCCACAGAGAGGAAGCCCGGGGCAGAGCAGGAATGCCGAGTGCTGGCCCTTGTCCCGCCACTCTGTGTCCTCCCAGCCCTGGAGGCTCCAACAGAGCCCCCAAGGCCAAGGGATTGCCCCTAGACCAGAGGCTGCCTGCAGATGGCCCTGGGACCTGGTTCCCTCACACCCAGCCCCCCCCAGCCGAGCAGCCTAACTTTGGTCATCCCAGGGGCCTTGGCCCTCTGACTCAGTCCTCCCAATCCTCATCCAGACTGTGCAGCCTGAACCCCCGTGGCCAGCACACTGTTTCTGGGGAAGAGTGTTCACAGGGGGTCAGCCCCAGGCTCCCTGCCCTGAGTGAGGTGGAGGACAGTCAGTCTGTGTTAATGGAAGCAGTGAGGCCTAGACTGGGGCCAGGCCGGCCCAGGGCCTTGCAGAAGGCCTGTGACAGTTGAGTAAGAAGTCAGGCTCCTGCCTACCTCCTGGGCAAGGAAGGCAGGGCACTGAAGGTGACCAGGCCTCCCTCGGTAACCTGAGCAAGCCCATCACCCAGCCTTTGAGGGGTCAACCCCATCCCCAGGAGACTGGCTAGATTGGTCATGGAGGGTATAAACTGTGGAATCGTACTCATAATGACAAGCAATGAACTTGACATATCTTAAAAGTTAACATTGACTGGAAGTCAAGAAACAGAATGAGACCCACAAGGTAATATCATTTATATACCTCACGGATACATACCCACTTCCAGTTTTATACAGAGACACAGATGTTCAAAGACATGTCTAAGGGTCAGGGTAAGGATGAAGGTTAAAAAAACTTAATTATGAGAACGGCCTTGCACAAACCAGTGATAATGGTTGCTCTGAAATGAGAATTCAGTTCTCTGCATTTATAAAAACAAGTGTCTCCAGAAAAAGTTCCCACTACACTATTTGATAATGTCTCCAGTGCCAGGTCCACAGGCTGGCTGACTCCATACATTCTGCATAAGAGGTCCCAGCCCCGCCCCACCCCCCCAATTACATCCCATGACTGATGGTTCTCCCTGCCTTCTGATGACCCGATGACCAGGATCTTCCTTTTAAAAGGCACATTTCTTGGGATGGTGGGGAAGAGAGGTGAGCACAGGTCTTGTTGGAACTGAACTTTAACCAACACTGGCCGCACTGTCTGAAGGGCCTGGATGTACCCCACAAGCCAGAGGGAACAAACCCCTACCCCTACATCCACAAGCGCACACTCAAGCCTTGCCTCAGCCCCCTTCCAACATCACACAGCCCACCCACATACCCAAGCCCCTGTGGAGAGGCTGAGAGCCCAAGCCTGCAGGCCTGGCTGCTGATGGAATGCCTCCTGGGAGAGCAGCAGAGAAGGAGGCATTGTTCCTTCCTGGGAAAACATACCAGCTGAGGGAGGGGGCCTGCTGTTCCCAGAGACCTCAGTGGGGGATTTTAAGGGGGGTTGGGGGGACCCAGCCTAGACTCTGCCTTTTCCAGTAGCTTCCCCCATGGCAGTGAAGGTGTGACAGAGGAGGGCAGACCAGGGGGAGCCAGTCTGGGGAGTCACAGGGCCCCCGTGATGGTCAGAGATAGAGAACAAAGAACATAAAATGATGATCGGGGGGATTCCATTTAAGTTCTAGAAAAGGCATAAGTGATCTAAAGTGATTAAAAAGCAGATCAGTGGTTAGGTGCGGAGGAGGGAGGGAGGATTTGCTGAGAAGGGGCAGGGAGGAACTTTCAGGAATGGTGGAAGCAGACCGCAGCATGATTGTGGTGGCTCTAACACCCTGTGTGCATTTGTCACAGCTTTTCAAACTGGATGCCTAAAATCTGTGCATTTGACTCTGTGTAAATTATAACTTAAAAAAAAGAAAAAATAACACGTCAAGTCCTGGAAGGAGAGGTTGGGACCTGGAAGCTCTTCCTGGGGCTTCCTTGACCTGCGGTGTGACTGTGGGCAGATTCACTGCTCTCTCTGAGCCTCCCTTCCCTTCAGCGCCACTGTGAGCCATGGTTTCCTGAGGGAGACAGGATGAGGAGCATGCTGGCGGATGAGTGGAGCAGTAAAGTATGAAGCCACTGATCATTAAAGAAGCTTGCCTGACGGAGACTGACAGCTTAACAGTCAGCCAGCCCTGAAGCACGCTGAGGGGGTGAGTGGGGCCTGAGCCCTGCCCTCAGGGAGTACAGACTGCAGGGGAGCAGACACAGGTAAATATGACGAAATCTAGTAGTGAGGCAGAAGTGTGAGCAGCTTGGAATGTCACTGCCAATCAGAGAAGCCTTCCTGGAGCAGGAGGCACCTGCCTGAACCTGAGGTTCCTCAACAGTCGGAGGAAAATGGTCATCTTTGGCTCAGCCTAGGACCAGGACCAAGGTTCAGTGTGTGGCCAGGATCAGAATTCAGTATGTGGTCAGAGTCACGGTGCAGTCAGAGGCCAGGAGTGGCACCAGCCCCGAGTATCCCCAGCCTCTTAGCTGGCTCTTCCAGCTTCCCTGGACGAGGAAGGGTCGGGCCAGAAAGTGCTGTACAGTCATCTGTGCAGTGTTTATTGAAACCCGGCCTGGGGTGGGGGTGGCAGGCTGCCTGGTGCCAAATGTGGGGTCTCATGCAGCTTCAGGCCCAGCTGACCCACCACCACATGTTGCTGAGGGAAAGGCTCTTTGATAATGGGAAGGGGGCCATTCCTGGCCATTCACCCCGCTCTCCCCCACACACAAGCTTCTATGGACGAGAAAGTGAGACACAGCTTGATATGGAGGTGGCCCTTGCTTTCAGGGCCTGACGCTCCCTGGGGAAATGACTGCAAGCATTCCTAGGGGCTTGAGTAACGGGGCCGAGGCTGGCCAAGACAGCCCCCATCAGCCAGGAGCCACCTCATCCTCACCCACCCTTGTGCTCCTTGCTTCCTCTTCATTCCAAGCAGGTGAGATCACACTGGCTGCTCCAGCCTGAGGCTTGGGCCCTAGGCAGGCAGGGGTAAGGTCTGGGAGCCCCAGAGATGTATCTGTGAGGGGTGACAGGCAGGCAGAAACCTCTGGGAAAGGCTCAGAAGCCAGCGTCCCCCTCTTCTGTCTCGTCTTCTGGACCTGCAAGCTGACAAGAGGGTTTTGGCAGTAAGAAGAAGGGGCTAGAATCCTGTCCATGTGACTCAAGCCCCCTCACTGTGCCTGCCCCCAAAAAAACAGAGGGCTTGAAAGAAGCTAAGAAGAGCTTACAGCTTCATTTTATCATTTATCTGCCAGAAGCCCTGCAGCATGAGAGGGGAGGGGACATGGAGGCCCAGGCCCATTCCCCTTTAAGGTGGTGGCTGAGCTGGGATGGAGCCCAGGGCTCTGGAGTCCCCCTGCCCACCTCCCACCCCACCCCTTCCACACACCCAACATCAAGATCTTTCCGTCTTTATTCTGTGTGGCTAGGGTCTGGACACCTGAGTTCAGCTTCTGCTTAGTCCTATTAACTCACTGGGATGAAGTTATGTACGGGGGTGGGGGTGGGGAGCAGAATGGACAGACCCTTGGCTGCAGCCTGACCAGAGGAACAAGTGATCCGGGGACTGGACCAGACTCCAGACTTCCCCTGGGCACTGGGCCCCAGGCCCTCCTCAGACTGGAGGCCAGAGGCTGCAGACGGGAAGGTGTGGTCCGCTCTGGGGGCCAGTGACAGGATGAAAGGAATCCTGAGCAAGGCGGGCTGGGTGCCCAAGCCAAGAATCCTGCCCTGTCAGCAGCCTGCTCCCGCGACGTGTTTTCCTGTGAGCCCATCCCTTCCTGGCCACCCTCACTTCTGCCAACCGCCATTCACCTGGCTCTGCCCAGGAGCCTTCTGGTACCCGCTGAGGGCTGGAAGCCCAGGGCATGCTCTCGGCGGTTCACGAAGAATGCCAGCTGCAAGGGAGAGAGGAGCAGAGAGTGTCTGGGGGCTGGTGCCCTGGGAAATAAGGACACCAAGGGGAGTGTCTGCGTCAGGAAATTGCTTGGTTACTCGGTCCTGCCCCCAGGCCCTTGTTCATGCTACACCCCCTGCCAAGAGCACTCTTTTGTCTTCTAAGGTTCTTCAAATCCGCTCCCCCCAGTCTCCCAGGAGGCTCAGTGGTCCCCACAGTGTGGGGTTCCAGAGGTGAGCCCCTGCTCCCTGACCTCCCTGACCCCACACCTGAGCCTAGAGAGAATGGTTCATGTCACACACCTCGCTCACACACACATTGGGAGGCTTCCAGGAGGAGGTGACAGCCAGTGCAAAGAACTGAGAATGACCAAGGACATTTGGGGTTGGGGAGGTCTCTGGGCTTTAACCCCGACCCTCCTCAATGCCAAGCTATCGCTCCCTCCTCTCTCTCCCACTCCTGACTCCAGGCCTCCCTGACTTGGTCCCAGACCCCAACTACGTGCAAGCATCCACTTACGTCCAGAGAGCCCACCTGTACTCCCTGCGGTGTGCTGCGGAGGAGAAGTGCCTGGCCAGGTAAGATGAAGTGCGGACAGTAGTCAGGAGTCACCCAGAACCTGCCTGCAGGCTGCACCACCCTGGCCTTCTCATTGGTGGGCCTGGTCTGCCCCCAGGGTATCAGGTGGGGAAGGGAATGGGGAGATCCAGCTTTTATGTACACATCACCCTGCAGGGAACTTAACGACATTTCATCTTCACACCCACTGCCTGCCAATGCAGGAGACTATAAGAGATACGGGTTCTATCCCTGGGTTGGAAAGATCCCCTGGAGAAGGAAATGGCAACTCACTCCAGTATTCTTACCTGGAGAATCCCATGGACAGAGGAGCCTGGTGGGCTACAGTCCTTGGGGTTGCAGAGTCAGACACAACTGAGCAACTTAGCATGCAACTTTACACCAACCCCAAAGGGCCTGTGTTGCCCCATCAGTAACTGAGGAGCAGTGAGAGGAACTGCATCGTGAGAAGGTCCCAGGCAAGTCTAGCTGCTGTCAGGACAGAGGGCAGGATTATGGAGCCATCTCTACAGAGGACGGGAGAGGCTGATGGAAGGGGCCAAGGGCACAGGTGACAGTGAGGCCTCCATTGTGTGCTGCACTAGAGAGAGGGGAAGGTCATCAGTTTACCTGAACCCAGGAGGTGAGCACAGCTGACTCTCCATTATACCTGATTAATTCTGCCTCTTGCAGAGCTTGCTTCTCAGTTTGACAGCGAATGTTCTGGTCAAATATGTATGCATTGAGGACATCTCCCCATGCTAAAACAACTAGTTAAAGGTTACATTGACTTACTTCTTTTGTTTACATCCCTCTGTGTTGAAAGCACCTATTTTTCTTAATTATTTGCTTTTTTAAAGCAGTTGAACTCTCCTTTCACTTCTGCATATCTGGGAAGCCCTTGGGCATCTCAGCATTTTTTCATTGAGGGAACTTCTCATTCACTGCAACTCAAGAGTAGCTGACCACAGACTGTTATCTATCTATAATGAAATGAGGGGCTTGCACTGGAATGTCACTCAATTCACCACTTCGAGAAAGTCTTGCTTCAAAAAAAGAAGTATCAGCTGAACTAGACCCTGTGATCAGTGATGTAGCTGATTTACATGTTGGTGGAAGTTCCTTATCTCCTTACAGACTGGCCACAGACAGTGTGAGAGCTGGCAGAGGTCCAGGGACCACACATGAGTGCCCTCAGCTGTCCTGCCCACTCAGGTCTCATGCCTGGGAACAGAGCGTCATAGTACGCTCTTACTACATCGCCTTCAGAGAGCAGGAGCGCAGTCTCCATGGCTGTCCACTGAGGCTGAGTCAAAACCAAGCTGTTACTCCATCTTCATGGAACATCCTGTGTGCCCACACCTGGGCCCCCAGGTGGACTGGGGAGGAGGCAGCCGGGGCTCCGTCCGAGGGCTCTTTTGATCTAGCTGGAGAGGTAGCCGCTCACCCAGACCCAAGCGACAGGGAGTGGAGGAGAGCTAGAAGGGGTGGTTGGCAGGCTGGAGCCGTGCGAGGCCAGAGGAGGGGGAGGTTGGCAGAGGCTGAGGCATCCGCGGAGGCTGGGCGTGAGATACAGACCTAGAAAATGCAGCAGGACCGACGCCCTGGAGCGGCAGGGCCCTCGGAGATGGCCGAAAGCATGGGCCACAGACTGGTGCCAGTTCACAGACAGTAGGCGGGACTCAGACGAGGGAAGGGACTTGCTCCAAGTCTCACCGCGGCTTTGTGGCCAAGCTGGGCCTAGAACCCAGACCCTAATGGGTTCCCACGGTGTGCCGAGCCCAACAGAAGGGCAGGATTTAGCTGAACAGAGGGAAGGAGGATGTTCTGTTCCAGCGCAGACAGAGACAAATTCCAAGCCTCCCTCAGACAAGGCCAAGGGACTTACGTCCTGGCAGACAGAAGCCTGCAGCGCCTGGTGTCCAGACATCTTCTCACAGAGAGCTAATCCCCATGACTGGCCACCTCCTGCCTCTGGCCTCCGGGCCCAGCCCTTAATGATTGCTAGGGAAGTGCCCCTGAGGCTGGCCAAGACAGCTGTCCGCAGTCAGCTGAAGAGGGGGGAGCCTGCAGTCAGCCCTTTCTCCTACATACGGGGTGTGTGGACATGTGTCCCTTCACTGCTGCCCCCGAGTTTTCTCTCTTTTCCCTTCCTCACATGGCCCATCTCAGTTGGCAACTGGGGGACAGCAAGTGAATTGTGAGCAGGCAGTCTGCAACCAGTGTTCCCCCAGCAAAACAGGTCAGGTAGCTGGCCCTGAAGCCACAGAATCAGGGAGAGTACTCACACAGACCGGGCTCAGGCTGTGTGTGGTATCAGGGCGTGCTGGAGGCAGTGCTGTTAGGTCTCCCAGGCAGTCAAGATCCCTCTAAGTGGGGCAATCTCAGCAGACTTCCTGGAGGAGGGGACCTGAGTTGGGGCTAAGAGGCTGGTTGGGTTCTGGGTCAAATGAACAGAACAGACAAAAGTGGAGATCAGTGAAAGAGTTAAGTCTGTTTGGGAAAAAGTATTTGAAGCTAGAACCCAGGGTGTAGGGGGAAGTCAGAATCTCTTGGACAAGGCTATTTTTTAAAAAGCCCTCCAAAGATTTTGATATGCCCCCACGCTCCGTTGTGTCTCACTCTTTGCGACCCCATAGACTGTAACCCACCAGGCTTCTGTCCATGGGATTCTCCAGGCAAGAATACTGGAGTGGGTATCCATTCCCTTCTCCAGGGTATCTCCCCAACCCAGGGATCAAACCCGGATCTCTAGCATTACAAGCAGATTCTTAACCATCTAAGTCACCACGCTTAGAGACTGTCCCCAACTGAGAGTCATAAGCAGGCATCAGGGGCCCTCAGAGCGTCATTATCAGGCCCTGCTTTAGAGCGGCCCCACCGGCAGCTTCCAGCCACACGGCAGAGGGGAGGGGGCGGCCAGCAGAGAGGAGGAGGCCTGAGCCTTGGCTGCAACACAGGGATCAGCTGTCAGAACCTTCAGGAACAAGACGGCCCCCGCGGGGTGTCTCTGGCTGGTACCTGAGCGCCCTCCGCTCTCCCCACCTGTCCCCACAGCACGGCCTACGGCCCCGAGGCCACCGACTACGACGTGCGCGTGCTGCTGCGTTTCCCCCAGCGCGTGAAGAACCAGGGCACGGCGGACTTCCTCCCGAACCGGCCGCGGCATACGTGGGAGTGGCACAGCTGCCACCAGTGAGCTGCCGCCCCCGGCTGGGCCGGGACCCCCGCCCTGCGAGCGCTGGGGAGCGGCGGGGCTGGGGGCGGGGCGGGGCTGGGGAGAGGGCCCCGAGAGGGGTTTTCTGCCGAGATTCCATCACTGGGGCAAGGACTTTTCAGCAGAGCCTCAGCAACTGGGCTGGACGACGGGACGTAGAAGGATCGGTCTGGATAGGAGATGGAAGTGTCTAGAGCGCAGGGCATCGCCCAAGGGAGGCCAGGATAGGGAGGAGTGAGGGGTCCTGCGGAGGTGCCCTCCTAGGGTGCCTGGCTCGCCGGGGACACCAGCGATGCTGCCTGTGGGACCCAGGAGCCCAGGCGGGTCAGGAGGCGGGGTCAGCTGGGCCATCTCGGGAGCGGAGCGGGCTGGGCAGGGCGGCCTAGGCCCTCTTCTCCCGCTTCCTCTCCCGCCCCAGGCACTACCACAGCATGGACGAGTTCAGCCACTACGACCTGCTGGACGCAGCCACAGGCAAGAAGGTGGCCGAGGGCCACAAGGCCAGCTTCTGCCTGGAGGACAGCACCTGTGACTTTGGCAACCTCAAGCGCTATGCCTGCACCTCTCACACACAGGTCAGGTCAGGTCGGGCTGGAGAGGCGGGGCCGGGCTCCGGACGACGGGGCAGAGCTGCCTAGGGATGGGAGGCTGGGCCACCCTGAAGACAGGCTAGCACTGAGACTCCTGGCCACCCTGCTCCTCCAGAGTGCAGGTCTTGCCAGTCCTCAGGCCGCCGCAGGGCTCCACGGGGCCTACCCTGCACCTCCATTTCCAGGGGTGTCTGCTCATGGAAGGAAAACATTCCAAGGAAGTCTGGATGGCTTAATGTTCTATTTGTCTAGCTGGGCCCCCAAATCCATCTTTCTGTCCAGAGAGTGTCCGTCTATCCTGCCTATCTCTCTCTGTCCATTCATCCATCCGTCTCTCCCAAGCATCCCCCCACCTTCATCTCACCCCTCCTTCTGGTTATTACATCTCTCATTGCTCTGGTCCATCTGCCCAGTGGGCCGAGTACAGGGCAGGGCCATGCTAAGCTGCTCCCTGGCAAAGGGGGGGGGAGGCGGGGGTGGGCAGGGTCAGGACAAAGCACAGAGCAAGGAGGACCCAGGCTACTGAAGTGGACATGGGGTGGCTCTCTGAGGAGTGCACAGCACCCCAACCTCTGCTCCTGTCCCCTCTCCTAGGGCCTGAGCCCAGGCTGCTACGACACATACAACGCAGACATCGATTGCCAGTGGATTGACATCACCGATGTACAGCCCGGGAACTACATCCTCAAGGTGGGGCCCCTGGAGGCACTCCTCCAGCCTGATGTCCCCACCCCTGACATAAGCTGCACATTCTGGGTGTACACCCTCTGGGTGTTAGATCTCACAGGCAGTCAAGAGCACTCTAAATGGGGCAATCACGGTAGACTTCCTGCAGGAGGGGACCTGAATTGGATCTAGAAGGCTGGGTGGACTCTGGGTCAAGTGAACAGAAGTGAAAGAGTCAAGTCTGTTTGGGAAGCAGTATTTGAAGCTGGAAAGAAGGGTGTAGGGGGAAGGGGAGGCCAGTATCTCCAGGCTAAGTCTCCTTCTTCATACTCCTGTTGCTCTGCAACTAATGATGTCCCCTGAGATCTGCACTTCACATCTGAAGGTCTTAGTCTCAGGCAGACACAGTCTCTTCCCATAAAAACTCCAAGGAAACTGCAGCCCAGGTGTGGTAATGCTGGAGGAGGGGGTGACTCCCTTCCCTAAGTGACAGAGGACTTGGAGAGCCATGTGGTCCATTCCCCTGTATGTGGGCAGGGCAGGCTCTGTGCCATCTGGGAGAGGACACTGCCCTTCCCTGAGACACAGCTCCTCACAGGACCCCCTGCAAAGCCAAGGGCTTTATCCCCTCTGGCCTGAACCCCTCCTCCACATCCAATCATCCCAATGCCCCTTGGTTAGGGGCACAAGTAGAAAAGTGCGTCAGGGGCACAGAACCCAGCATGGTGCCTCCATGCAGGCTGGGCAGGGGCCAGGTCATCACAGCCTCACCTGCGGGAGCCAAATCTTAGCCTCTTCCTTGCAGGTGCAAAGCCAGAGTGGGACTAACTCTGTGAGCTCTCTCTCAGAAGGAGAAGAGCTCCTTGGGCTCTTTTCTACTCTGGAGTAAAAGAAGAGCAGAGAAGGTGGGCCTGGAAAGCAGCTTTAACCTGCACAAAGATGGGCTGCTAGGCAGCTGCATTCAGAACCCAGCAACCCAGAAGCTGTTGGTTGCAGCCCTGAATGAGCACCTCTCACTGGGCTTGGTGAGGCCTCTGCTAAGCCTCACCCAGGGGCCAGCATTGTTCAGGGTATCTTTTTTCTTCCCTCATTCATCCACTCAACAAACTCACACAAAAGCCCTTCTGAGTTCTAGGTTCCAAGGATTCAAGACATGTAATGCCCAGTTCCTGCCTCTAATAAATGTAACTTAAAGACAATATCACTGCATCTCTTCTTAAATGTTCTGCAGATAAGGCTAGGTGTGGCCTAACCCAGTGAAACCCTCTCCTGTCAGTCCAACATTTTAAAGACTGCCTTGTGTCCCAACAACTCTTCTTCAGCCAGGTTATGCTAGGGTCATCATCTCAGTTGAGTGTCAGGTGCCTTGGGCTCCAGGCCAGGAGATGCCTCCTGGCATCAGATAGGCCATCAGCGGGTCATCTAGATGGGCACGCATGGTGAAAGGGTACCGGCTTCATAGTCAGGGAGACTAGGCATGGGATCCCTGCCCAGCCCCTCACTCACTGCTGGGTTCCCTGGGGCAGTGGCTCTGAATGCCCTGTGCCAGGCCCCCTGTCCTGACCTCTGACTGAGGAAGCCGCCTGTCTTCCAAGAAGGGTGATCTGATGATGCTTTCTTTGACTATGAGCTGTCTCTTCCTTCCTCTCTCTGTGTCTCTGCATCTTCTCCTGTCTCTGCATCAGTGCGTCTCTTGGTCTGGCGTGGTCTTTCTCCATCTCCGTGTCTCCCTCCCTTTGTCGCCTCTGTGTCTGCCCGTCTGCCTCTCCACCTTCCTTGGCGACCAAGTGAAGCACAGCTCCCTGATCAGATCCCTTTCCATCTGTTCCCTTCCTTCCTCAGGTGCATGTGAACCCAAAGTACATCGTTTTGGAGTCTGACTTCACCAACAATGTAGTGAGATGCAACATCCATTATACAGGTCGCTACGTTTCTACAACAAACTGCAAAATCGTCCAGTAAGTGTTCACCCACCCCGCTCCCTGCCCCAGCCCCTCTCCTCCTCGAGGAGCAGGCAGGGCCACCCGAAACACGGAGGATGCCTGCCCTCTGGGTCACCTTGGTGGCCATGCACGGCTGCAGCTGGACCAGCCCCCAGGCTGCGCAGGAGGAGGCTCGTCTGTGCCCACCCCAAGCCCAGTGCTCGGGATGGGGGTGGCGCTCGGGCTGCGGACGCTGATCTGGGGCGTGGCCCCCCATCTCTCAACTGGAGACTGGCAGGAGGCAGCGAGGAGGTGCAGGGCCCTGCAGGCCTCATTCTGTGACTCCCTCGCTCTGTGACCTCAGGCAGCTCGTCTCACCTCTCTGATCTTTCCTCTTCGACACTTCCCAGGCAGGCTTGTGAGGCGGATTGAAAGGCCTGACAGCTGTCTCTGCGTGTTCCAGAACCCTTACACTGGTGCTCAGTGATGGGCAGCTGTGTGAGCCTTAGCCTCCCTGTAAGGTGGATTGAATGCAGCAGTCCCAGACTAGAAGGGATTCTGGCTGGAGTCACTTCGAATCGGTCATCAGCCCCTGGGCCCCATTGTGGAGGGAGCTGATAAACTCTGCACCCAGGCCTTTGGCACATGGCTCCTCAGCTGCCCGAGCTGGCTGTCCTCAGCCTCTCTCCTGATTCCTCATGTGAAGTGCTTTGCAGAGGGACTGCCTGCTTACAAACTCATTAAGAAAATGCAGCCGCACTCTGTGTGAATTTTAAATGCTTGATTGGGTCAAAGCAACTCTCTTCCATTTAAAAAATAAAGAAAAAAAGAATAGTCTTCTAGAGCTGTAGTCCGTCAGCTAGGGGACAAGTGGCAGGGATTGCAAGGCCCAGAGAAGCATTTTTCCCCAAACACGCCTGCTTATTAATGGTTCACAGATATGAGAGGCTTAGCCTATCTCCAGAGTCAGGGCTCAGAGTGTGGCTGGGATTAGGGCTCAGTGTGTGACGAGGATTAAGGCTCAGCATGTGACCAGGGTCAGGGCTTGGTATGTGAGGGCTCCGTGTGTGTTTACAGATAGCCCCTTCACCCTTGGCTGCTACCACTAAGCTAACTGTTCCCAGCCCCCCACCACACTGTGAGAACAGTAGCCTCTGGTTCAATTCAGAGATTCTGTTCCTCATTAGTGGGATTAGATCAGAATTATCCAGGTCACGGAGTGACCTGGGAACACCGACTCCTGCCCCATCCCTGGCAACCTAGCCCTTTGGCAGGCCTGGGTTTCCAGCACCTTCTTGCTCCTCAGGTCTTGTCTCTTTCAGCCATTAAAAGTCCAGGGGTCACCTAAACAGTAGAGGTTTTCTGGGAAGCAGTTGAAGGAAGGAGTAGCAGGGGCGGGCGGGATGGAGGCAGGAGCCATACAAGAGGAAAGGGGGCAGAGGCGGGAGCGAGGGAGGCAGGGAGCCCACACGCCCTCTTGTCGCTCCTGCTGCTGTGGGGTGGGGGGAGTATCCAAACAGTCCCCTGTTTTCCAGGAGGCACGGTGAGCTGGGCCCCTCAGCGGGGTGGACAGAGCAGCTGCCCCACACCCTCTCCAGCTCCCCGGGGGCCTGCGGGCACCAGGAATGCCGAGGCCCTTCCTTCCGAACCCTTTACATAAGTGCTTGGAGAGGCTCAGGTCTCAATAGCGCGTCTCCGCGACCCTGACCGCAGGCAGGCGGCTGGGCCAGCACACAGGAAGCTGGAAGGAGCGTTCCCAGAAAGGCCATGGGACTGACGCCTGTGGGTTTCAATCATGTTTCTGAAGAGGAAAAAGAAGGCCATTTTTTTTTTTCCCCAAAAGTACTGAGTTAGAAGAAATAAGAAAGTATTTTCAGACAGTAGCAGCTCTGCTAATGGCCCAGAAAAAGAGTCTGGAGCTCAGGGCATGGGGCAGTGTGCTGCCCAGACCACACCTTGGGTGGGAGCCCATGAAACCCCTCTTCTTAGAGCTGGGGGTGCAAGGAGAAATATCAATAACCTCAGATATGCAGGTGTCACCATCCTTATGGCAGAAAGCGAAGAACTAAAGAATCGCTTGATGAAAGTGAAAGAGGAGAGTGAAAAAGTCGGCTTAAAACTCAACATTCTGAAAACTAAGATCATGGCATCTGGTCCCTAAGCCCCGATGACTGAGGGGAGTGGAGGGGAACCGCTCAGCTGGGGAGGTGGTGGGGGTGGGGGGCCTAGCTGACAGTCGAGTGAGGTCTCCCTGCCCCTCAGCCTGCCGCTGACCTGCTCTCTTTCTTTCCTTAGATCCTGATCCCCGGGAGGTGTATACAGCCGGCCCACCTCCTCACCTCCCAAAGCAGGCCCTGCTCCCCAGGCAGCCTCCCGCCAGGATGAGCCCGGCCAAGGGGCCCAACCCCCACTCACAGGCAGGGGCAGCTGGACCGCGGGAGCATCCTTCCCTGCCCGCCTCAGGGAGCGAACGGGGACCGAAACCACAGGGACTCCGGATGCCAGGCCCCACTGTGTACTTAACTCTCCCCCACCACATTATTTTGTTGGTTGTTGGTTTTTATTTTTTATATTTTGGCCATACCACAGAGTAAGATTGCCCAGGCCTGGGCTGAATAAAACAAGGTTTTTCTACTCCGTGGTTTTCTGCATGTGGCCTGCCGGCCGGGATGACCAGAGCTAGGTTGGGCTCAGGGGACATGCTCGGGCTCCATCCTTCGCAGCAGAATGTGGAAAGGGCAGCCACCACCCGCCAGGACCACAGCTTGACCCAGAGGGCCTCGAGCCCCCGCTGGAAGCCCCATAGGGCCTCTCTCAGTGCCAAGTGCGCTGCGTGGGGAGAGGCCCCCGGCATCTCATCCTCCACCACCACCCACCCCCCTCGCTCTCACACAGTCACCCCCTCTACCAGCCACCTGCCCCCTTCTCGCATATTGAGCACCTACTGAATGCCCAGCCTACGGTGGAACTGAGCCACTAGAGCCGGAGACAGTTCCTGCTCACAGGGGCTGGAGCGGGTGCACCCCCCAACATGAAAACATTCCCTCCCTAGTCAGACGGCCCCGGGGGAAAGTGGTGGAGCCCGGGAAGGGAAGGGAGAAGAGTTTACTTGGCAGAGGCTGATGGAGACAGCGGCCCTTTCGCTCCTGTCCTGGCAGCGGTACCCTGAGCTCCTGGACCCTGGATCCAGGCTGGAAGGAGCAAAGGAAGGCACTTGCCCTGTTCCTGCTCCTCCCACAAGCCCTTGGAACACCTTTGCACCCACCTGCCTCCTGCCAGCTCCCTTCCTTCCCAGGGCAGTGACAGTAGTGACAAAGGGAAAGAAACTTGGTCCAAGAACCAGGGCTGTGAGTTCCAGGGCCAGGTCTCCTGCTCACCGGCTGTGTGGCTTTCGGCAAGGCCTGCAACACCTCTGGGCCTCAGTTTCCCCGTCAGTAAAATGGGGCTGCTCTCCTGCCTGGCCCACATGTGGCATGGAGAGCCCGTGAGCCACTCCTGCAGGCCAGCCGCAGGGTGTCAGACCACGCCTCCAGGTCCTCGCGGTCTCCCCCGCCTGCTGCACTCAGAGTCCTCCAAGGAGAAGGGGGCCCCCCCTTTTGGCTCTCACACTAGTCATGCCTCAGGACCCCCGGAGCAAGTAGGTGCTCCGACAGGGCGGAGAGGGGGGTCCTCCTGGAGCCATGCTGTGCTTCCAGAAGGCCCTGGCCCAGCCCACTGGAGCCCTTGAGCCATTCACTAGCCCAGGCAGAGGATGGAGTGGAACGCGACTGCAGCCCCTCTCGCCTTCCCTCACTGAGTCTTGCTTGGGTTCGACTCTTTCCCAACTCGGGGTGAGGGCTGTGGCCCTGCCGTTCTCCACCTAGGGCTGGACGGCAGGACTGGGAAGGGGTGCAGGCAGAAGCCTGCCTTCCAGGGGTCCCGCTCTGCCACAGCCTGTACCCCTGTGTGCCTCAGAGACTCTGTCCTTATTCCAGCCCCAGCGCTCCCCTTCCTAGGTGCCCCCAGGAGGGCAAGTAGGATTCAGACGAGGTCACCAAATTCCAGACTGTCAGAAGGTCCCAAGAGGTACAGTCAAGAGTCCCCAGTTGCCAGGTCAGAAAGCTGAAGCCTAGAGGAGGAGACTGTCTGAGGCCACAGGCTTCAGCAGATGCTCAAGGGAGGCTCCTGGGGAGGCACAGTGCTCCTGGGGGATGGGGGACTGGAGAGGCTAGAAGGTGGGAATGAGCGAGACTGTGGCAGGAGGAGAGGAGGGGCGGAGGTGCTAACCACCTTCAAGCCTGAACCAAAAAAAAGGTTATTCCTTAGAAACCACCTTCCAAGAAAACAGTGTGGGGTTTGCTGGGTGGTAAGGGGCTGGGTGCCAAACAGGTTCCCTCTTGGTCCATGGCAATGCCTGTGTGCCAAGCCCCTCCCCTCTGCATTGGGGGTCCGTCAGCATCTGCACTGGCCCCACACCTGATGCCCGCCCCTGGGGCCAGCCTCCTGAGGAAGGTTCCTGCTTGCCCTGCTGCTTCAGACTGAGTGAGGTTAACAACACCTGCCCTTCCAGCTCGGAGCAGGGGGATCACTCCCCAGCTCCCACCAAGCATCTTCCCTTTATGGTCAAGATACCAAGGCCCCTTTGGCCACCCTCCAAGACCTCTGAGCCCTGCTGGTCATGCCCAGGAATGGTCCCAACACAGCTACTCCTCACTGTGGCCAAGTTGGGTACACACCCAACTATAGCCTTTTTTGGGAAGCCCCACCTCCACATAAACCCCTTGCTGTCCCCCAGACTGAGGCCTACAGGCAGTGGCCATGGGCAGGGTGGGCACCAGCCAGCTAAGGAGAATGAGAGGCACTGCCCACACCCTGGAAACTTCACTAGAGAATCACAAGGATTCAGATCAAGAGAGCAGCTAGGACTCGGGACCCAAGGGCTCACCTGACACGCATCACCCTGGAAATTCAGCAGAACTTTCTCTTAGAAAGTCCTAAAAACGCTTCAACAGAGAAACACAAGATATGGAAGACAGGGGAAGCAGGTATGGATTTTGGTTC